CCCGGGAGAGGTGACTTATGGGGTGCTCACTTGAGTGAGGCGAGTTATGGGGTGCCCCCCCGGGAGAGGTGACTTATGGGGTGCTCATTCTGGTGAAGTGAATTACGGGACGCCCACCCGGCCGAGGCGAGGTGTGGGGTGTCCACCTGGGTGAGATGTGGGGTGTCTGCCCAGGTGAGGTATGGGGTATCCACATGGACGAGGTGAGTTTGGGGTGTCCTCAGAGATAGAGCCTCTGAGACCAAATCTACTCTCCTGCTCTCTGCTTCCTGCCCTCCTGGACACCAGTCAGCCCCACTCCCCTGCCACCAAGCCACAGCACCCCTCCTGATCAGCTTCGTTAAGTCTCAACTGACTGGCTGGAAAGTGACTCAGAATGAGCTATGGAAGTTCAGGCTACAAAGTGCATTTCCGTAAGGAAGCCGTCATTGCTGAGTTCCTGGGGACGAGGGTGGAGCACTGTGCACAGAGCAAACGGCCGCAGCCTAGACTCATAGAATATCAGTAAACGGTGGCAAGCGGGTTTAGGAAATGACAGGTATTTCCTTCGGTCAGAAAGTCCATACTGGCTTTGACCCTTCAGCCCAGATGTACGATGAAACCCGGCTGACCGCCTCTCCTGCTGCGTGCAGCTGGAGAACACACATCCTCAGCCCGCCGTCCCCCATCCTTCCCCCGCCCCACTCAGCCAGGCCACAGAGGACGCAGAGGACATCAGGGAAGGGTGCCAGCACACTTACCTCCCCTCCCGTTCTCTCCAAGGCCGAGCCTGCCCTGTGCACTGGGTGGAAGGAAGCCCATCCTGCCCGGGGGGAGCCTCCTGGCTGCTGGGGTCACCAGCCCTGTGTGGTCAGCTTTCCCTCCTTACAGACCTGCCTGTAGCTGACACCCCATTAAAAACACCACCGTGCAACACACAAGAGAACAAACCGGTGGTTGGCGGAGGGGAAGGTGGGTGCGCGGATTGAGAGGTACAGACTTGCAGTTGTGAAGTGAATGAGTCTCGGGAATAAAGAGTGCAGCCCGGGAATTGTAACAATGTTGCCCGGTGACTGCAGTTACTGTTCCGCATACAAGCGTCAGACCGCTGTGCTGTGCACGGGACACTAACGTAACCTCCTGTGCCAGCCCGCCTTCAGCTGAAACAACAAAGCTGGGCCACCGCCTCTCCCGGAGCCCTCGAGCTGTAAACGGTGACTAAAGGACCGTGCTGACCGCTCCCCAGACTCCATTTCTGTGTGGGCTGTGGTTTGGCCCTTCATTTGAATGTCTCAGCTATGTGTAAAGATCAGAGCTGAGGTGATAAAATCCCGTACAGATCTTATTTACGAATTTCCTTTAAGTACACTCCTAGATGAGATTGGGGAGGACGGCGTGCTGTCTTGGGCACCTGGGGGAGCCGGCCAGGGGTCAGAATCCACCTCACTCCCGTTTTCTGACTGGGACTGTGTCTTAATGAGGAAATTGCGTGTTGGAGAGCAGGGGACAGGTTTCATTCCCCCTGCGTGATGGTGTCGCTTCTGTGTCTGCTCTAGGCTTTGGTTTGTTCAGCACGGAGGATTAGGTGGCTGCAGGTGCCCAGCGGTGAACACATTTGATATGTTCACTTTAAAATCCTCAGTCTGTTTTAATGGGCTTCTCAAGAGGCGGGCAGCCTCATTGTTCATTTAGTGGCTCTATTCCAGTAAATTCTGTGGCGTCTGAGTCTCCCCTGAAGCCTGCGTGAGATTAACACGGCCAGGTTCCCGCCGGACGTGGGCACTCCGATGTCACTGACTGCCCAGGTAGTTTCCTCCCTGCGGTTCCTCCCCAGCGAACTCACCCAGTTCTGTTGCTTCCTTCACAGATCTGGGTTCACAGTGCCCACAATGCCAGTGGTTATTTCACCATTTACGGAGATGAGTCCCTGCAGTCAGACCACTTCAACTCAAGGTTAAGTTTTGGAGACACCCAGACGGTCTGGGCACGGACAGGCTACTTGGGGTTCCTGCGGAGGACGGAGCTCACAGATGCAAACGGAGGTAAGAGCCCAGGCGGTAAGAGCCCAGGCAGATGGGTGGAGAGGCCCCCAGGCCCTGAGAACGTTTGTGGGCCTGGGACCCCAGCCCCATGAGCACATCGTGCATGCTTGCTGCAAACCAGCTGAGCGTGAAGGAGAGGAGGGTCGGTGTGAGTCCAGCACGCTGGAGCCACGTGAGAGACTGTGTGCTCCATGAGCACAGTCTCTCACGGAGCCAGGGACAGATTTAAACCCGGCACAGGAGCCAGGACACCATGCCCCTCCATGCAGTGGACGGGCCCCTCACCCACCCGCAGCGGCCCCATGCCCCCGAGGCCCACCTGGACAGCTGCTGCAGGAGCGCGCACTGCCCTCTGCCTGACCGGACCGGGCCTGGCCTGTCGGGAAAGGGAGGTAGCAAGGTGCTCAGGCCTTGGGCAGGGGGAGGCGCTGCTCCCTCCTTCACTGGCGGCTGGCGCCAGGCAGGAGAGTTATACAAAATGAAAAGGTACAGGCCTACTTGCTAGGAGAGTCCCAGCTCCTAGTTCCACTCAAAGTAGAGGCAAGACTCAGTTATTTCAGAAGATGGGAGCTGAGATTTCCTAGGGAGATCCTGCCGGACCCAAACCCCAGGAGGTGAGTGTCTAGGAGGCTTCCTGACACACCTGCCTGGCAGGAGCTTTGTGAACCTGGCTGAACTGGCATATAATTAGTGGAAAAGCACAAAAACATTTTGGCATCGCATTTGCAATTTGGGAAAATCATAGACTGTTTTATTTGAGGGTGCTCTCTGGGATTCCTGTGAGGAACGAAGCAAGGCAGGGCCATGTGATCCAGACCCCCCAGGAGGAGGGACAGGTCCCATCCCGCGGAATTCTGGGGTGCTGGGAACAGCACTGTTGCTGTTTCCTCACCTCTGTGACCCCCCAAAAGATGGGAGTCCTGCTGAAGTAATAGAAGCCAGCAAATAAACATCCCCATCTCATCCGACTTGAACTGGAAAAGATATTCCCACTCAGAGGTGGAATTCTAGCAGTTACGGCCTCATGGGATGCCATCAGAGGGGACGGGGTTTGCTTTTGGCTGTGCTGCACCCTGACCTGTGGCTCTGGGAGAGCACGGTGTCTGCCGGCTGCCGAGGGGTGGAGGTGCTCCCGAGGAGTAGGAGATAGTGTACTGAAGGTGTGCAGGAGCTGGTCCAGGATGTGCGCTCTCCCCCGGGGCGCTGAGGTGTGCAGCCGGCTCTCTGTGAGACCATGATCCTGGCCAGGCTGGTGTCCTAGGGGCCCTAGGCTGCACAGCGTCCCAGGAGAAAGGAACTAGCTACCCGCACTCAGTGACCCCATTCCTTGGCATGTGTCTCTCAGGGGTAGTTTTAATCTTAGTATCTTACAAAGCAGCTTGAGCACCATTGTGGTGAGGTTCACACACGTTTTCCACTCCCTGCACAGAGCGCCATGATGCCCTGTATGTGGTGGGGGCACTGGACGAAGCGATGGAGCTGCGGGGAATGAGGTATCACCCGATAGACATTGAGACCTCGGTCATCAGAGCCCATAAAAGCGTCACAGAATGGTGAGTAGTGGGCGGGCATTTGCACCCAGCTGCCAGCGACCAGGCCGGCGAGTGTCCTTGGGTTCATCCTCCTTGCCTGGTCCATGTGGTTGGCTGTGGTGCTGGTGGGGCTGGCCTGGGGGCCCCGAGCTCACTCGGTGCCTTTACATGGTGGTAAAGGGTGCAGAAAGGCTCCACACCATTAACTGTAGGTTTGTTTGTTCATTTGGCCCCAGAGCTGGCAGGGACCTGATGTGCTCTCGGAGCTCAGGAACCCCAAGGGAGGCACATTCTGAAATCGCTCATGAGCAGTCCTTCCTGGTGGGTATATGGGCCTGAGTTGTTCAGTGCCCCTTGTGAGCTGATCACAGGCTAGTTATTTGTTGCCATTCATGGGCCCTGGACATGGGTGGCTCGGCAGCCTGGAAGAGAGAAGAGAGAGTTTGCGAACCCACGCGCGGCCCTGTGCTTCCGACGTGGTGATGTCCCTCCTCACCCCGAGGCTGCTGGAGCTGCAGGTGGACAGGGGCCAGGATCCCTGGAGAGACTGCAGCCCAGAGACAGCACACGGCTACCTCGGTTTCCACGCCACTAGCTATGCATACCGATTCCAGTCTCCCGGTCTGTAGTTTTAAGAAAATAACTTAGACCGGTTTGTATTGCCTCCCGCAAGCATTTTCCATCTGGTTGCAAAGGGCTGTTTTCCACCTTAAAGGCCTGTGGCGGGGACTCCGTGCCGCCGCCTGTGGGTTTCTGTTCCAGGATTCGAGTTTTTGTTCTAAGCCCTGCTGCTGTCACCTGCCCTGTGGCCTCACCTGATGCGCGTGGGGCCTCACACTCACCTTGCCCTCACATGTGCGCCCATAGTTCCGTCCTGCGGGGCTCTGGCCCTTCAGAAACCGCCCGGCACAAACTGCTCTGTTGTTCTTCCTGCTCCTTCTCACCTTCCCTGCCCCACCTGGGCGCCTCCTGCAGCACACACCCTCGGTCACTTTGCACCAAGGCAGAAGGCAGACACTCACGTCCCTCCATGTGGCTGTTTCAGGGTGGCATGGTCCAGCTAACCAAATCTTGCCCTTCTCCTCCGTTGTCTCCAGGGTCGGACATCTGTGGCCCTAGGAAAACAATGCTCATCCAGCCCATCACTCCTGGCAAACCCCCTTCTCCATCAAATACAGAAACCCCAATTCCTGATACTGTGTCATAAGCGTCAAGTGCTATAATAAAATCATACCACAAGTGGCTAATATACATATGAGATTTCTGGTATCACAAACTCAGTATGGGCTCACTTGGGCCACACAGAGCAATGTTTTAGTGTCATAAAGTGTCCCATTATGGGAATTTGGCAATTTGGCACCAGCGCATCTTGGGAACGGACCTTGGCAGGACTGTTCCCTTAGGGACACACTGATCACAACAAACTCGAGAAGCAGTAATCTGTTGGACACATTCTCCAATATTTCCCTTCCACATTAACGTATATATTGGTCATACTAAACAAAACGTGCGGGTTTTTTCCTGAATAGACATACCCATACAGTTTTAAGAAAACAGTAGTGAGTTTCCCAAATACTTGCTGCCTCCTAGACCCTTCTGTGCGTCCGGCTGGAGGACGCAGAAGCCAGCAACCCACTGCAGGCCCCTGGAGCCTGGCCACCGCCTCCCATGCCTCTTCTGCCCTGGACACTTCTGACCGCCTCAGCCAGCAGACCACGGGCACCAGGAGCAAAGCCTGCTAAGGCCCTGGAACCACTCCCATGTAAAGACCAACCTTATAAACTGCAGGTGGCTTAAAGTGTAAAGTACTGAGTTTAGGCTCCCACAGATTGGCCAGACCAAATCTTCTGGGTGGCCCTCCACTGCAAGATCCCAAATAAAATGCTTCTAGATGAATCTCTGACTTTCTGGAGGATCCTTCCCCGACACAGATCACCTCTTGCTGCCGGACACTCCTTCCAGACTCCGTGCTTCAGACAGCAGCGCGTTGTTGCGCCGCCATGTCTGCAGTTGACTGCTGGGTTGTCCGGCCCCAGGGTGACTGGGGCCCACGGTCAGCCAGGCACCAAGCTGGTGGCCCCTCCACGCTTCTCACCCTCCCTCGATGTCCCCGCTCCTGCTGTGGCAGAGGGAGGTCAGGACCAGCCCCACAGCCCCAGGGGCTGTCCGGCCTCTGCCAACTTACCGCTGACCAAGCCCAAGGCCAGGACTCCACCTTAGGGGCCTGGTGTGCACATCGGTGGGGCTCCCGTGGCACCCTTGCACCGTGGGCCCCTCGGCCACAGCTGGGAGCAGAGGGCGGGGCCGTGTCAGGGCGCTGCCTGGCACGAAGATCCCCTGCATGTGCGGCGGCCCCCGTGAGAGCCGCCCGGTAGGAAACCCTAACCACGGGAGTGTGTGCAGCCACCTAATGAGCGAAAAGCCATGGGCTCAGAGAGACTGTCAGTGTGCAGGCAGATCAGAAAAGAACCAGATGACACTTCTTGAGAAGAAAATGAAATTGTTACATGAACACTTCATGACATGGTGATGATTTTTTTCTCTCTTGCAGCGCCGTGTTCACCTGGACCAATTTGTTGGTGGTGGTGGTTGAGCTTGATGGGTCAGAGCAAGAAGCCTTGGACCTGGTCCCCTTAGTGACCAACGTCGTTCTGGAGGAGCACTACCTGGTGGTGGGGGTCGTGGTCGTGGTGGACATCGGTGTCATCCCCATCAACTCCCGGGGAGAGAAGCAGCGTATGCACCTGCGGGATGGGTTTTTGGCAGACCAGCTAGATCCCATCTATGTGGCCTACAACATGTAGTCTCGTCTCTGGTCCCATAGACTTTTCTAGGAAAGTAAACATTTTTCTGTGTCACTCAAGTTTGCAGACATGAGGGCCACATTCACCGGAATGGAGCCTTTGTTCACGCGGTGGTGAGACTTTCCACAGCAGTCCTGATTGGCATGGGGGTGAAATGTGAAATGTGAATTTACCACTGAAGTTTGCTCAGAAGGACTTTGGATTACTGCCTTCAGTTTGTTGGAAAAACCCATTTCAAAACTTTCTTTTCTTTTTTTTTAATTATTGGATAATAAGTGCTTTCTTCGTAAATGTGGTATTTTGTTAAGCCAAAATAGCAATTAAAAAAATATTCTGCCCTCCAGATGGGTTCTTTTAAACAATTTATGTAGTGTGACAAAGAATTGTTTTCTCTGTTTAATGTGTCATGAAATCTTAATGACATGGACCTTGTTACTAATTTAAGCCATTGCTAGATTTCATCCTTTTAGGAAAGTTTGTTGAGGTACGAGAAAACCTTCCAAATAGCACCTTCCGATTAGATTTTAGCAGCTTTCTTTGTCAGAAATGTGCTGGATAAACAAAGGCTAACATGTGGCCTTTGAAGTTAGCATAGAATGAGAAGAAATTATAAATAAGGTGTATTTCGGCAACTCTCTTGCAGATATCTTTGTACTAAACTAAAAAGATAAAATAAGTTAACTTCTTCATATGTAATTATGTACAAAACGTTTAATTTATTTTGATCTCTTTAGAAGTATAAAAGAGAAAAACATTCAAGAACATTAAAGTCTTGTAATGTTTGCTAATATAAAAAAGTGTTGTATTATCTTGCGTGGATAGTATCACAACAAATATATATATATGAAATATAAATTCACTAATGAACAAAGGAGATTTTAAAGTTTAAAATGCAGAACCTGTCACTTGCATGGTGTCCCCTCCACTGTACTGTAGATAAAGCGAGATTCTCTCACACCCACTTTGCTGATGCGAGCAATCCCAGATTGCCAGTAGCCCGGTCTAAATGTTTCTTCTAGAACCAGAGACCAGCAAGTGAAATTATTGCCATCTCGAAGATGGGGAAGGAATTTGAGGCGAAATGTGCACTATTTTCCCTTTGCTGCGGGGGCAACGGTGAGCGGTCGGTGCCAGTGTGTGCTTACGACCCTGAGCGGACATTAGGGAAGGCAGGTGTACGACCCTGAGCGGACACTAGGGAAGGCAGGTGCTGAGCAGCACCACTTAGCTGCAAGAAATCCTTGTTGTTCATCCTTTTTGTTAATGTCACCCTTTTTGGTCCTTGGTATGAAAAGGAGTGCTCTTTTGTGGTCATTTGCACCGGGTTGTGTTGATTCCCCTCAGATGGCCATTGTATGGAGTGGACAGACTGTCCAGAACAGCTTTAAGGGAAAAGACTCACATAGGAGACTGTTACCTCAGCCAGCTCTCTGGGGTTCCCCCGCCCGGAGCTCTGGGGCTCCACCCTCATGAGCTGCCCCAGGACTCCTCACAGAGCCACTGGCTGGAGCGAGAAAGCCTCCCAGCTGCCTTCATTTCGCCACCTGTGGATGACACGTTTCTGATTTCCGTCTCTCGCTGCTGCTGCCGCCTCACACACCTTCCGATTTCCACGTCTCATCTGTACACTCCTCGAGCGAAATAGCCCATCTGTGTCCAGCCAAGAAGAGGTATCCGCTGTCCAAGCGTGATCTATCTCGTAACTGCCCCAGTATGACCCTGCAGTGGCTCTCGTTGCTAGAAATGCATGACCAAGATTGTTGCTGGGCAAACCTTAGAGTCTCTTTTCATCATATTGTAGGCAATGTCTTCATCTGCCTTTGCTGTATGCGCCAGCAGTAAGCCCTTTGCTAAGAGAGTTTTGTTTGACTTCCGAGATCCAAGGCTAATCGTTTTTTAAAAAATTTAAGTGGCATTTTTTTTTTAATTTGTCTGCATGTGGGGTGCATCCTTCCATCTCCACAAATTATTTGATTTTTAAGATATTGTTTGACTTCATTGCTGTGTGTGAATATTTCTCTACATGCTTCAGGTACACATTCCTACAGTCTTCTGCTTCCTAAGGGGGAAAAAAACCCACCACACACAGAAAAAAAGGCATTTTCTTACACACACCCACCTTGTTTAAGGGGAAGGAGCTTTAAGGTTTCAGGTAGGATACTGACTAGGAAACACAGCTACAGGATAACTTGTGAGGTCTAGCTGATGTGGGAAGCAAACAACAAATCAGGTATCACTTCCAGTATGACCTTCACCTTCACCATGTCAGCTTCACGTGCAAGGCGGGGCGGTTGTGAACGTGGTTAGTGACGTCTTGTCATCTCTCATGGTAGAGTTGAGGTCCAAAGGGTTGGGGGCTGGGATCGAAGGTCATTTGTGCAAGAAAAAGGAAAGGAAACCTGTTTCAGCAATAAAGAAGGATTGTTCTGTATTAGAAATTGTGCTGTAGATAAATCATTCATGAGAATGTAACAATGTTTGTCTTGTGACCTTGTGCTTTTGAAGTCAGACAAAACCGTGTAATCAACTTGCACAAAGAAGGGTACACAATGAACATTGAAACACAGACCTAACCCAACAGGGCGGCTTCCTCATGGTGCTTGTTTATTATATATATTTAATCCTGCTTGACACTTTACCCAAGGGAAACTGCCCCTTTTATCAGTTGAATGTTAGCAGCGTTATTTCATAGAGTGTGGTGACTGGTTAGAGAAATTCATGTACTCAACCAATCACGGTTTCAAACAAAATTTTTATGTGCAAAGGACGGCAACCTTCTCGTATGTTAAACCACCAGTAAGCTTTGTACATCTGTGATAACGCCTGTTTTATATTCAAATGAACAAATAAAAGCTTTTATTTTTGTTGCTCTGAAAATAGCAGTTTCTTAATTGGTCCCCTGGAAAACTGTCTGGGACAGCTTCAATCCCAGGAAGGAAGTGAGTCCTGCAGGGAAATGGGAAATGTATCTGACTCTGTTTACATAATTTGTTGCGTTACTTATTAGTACAGATAAATCATACTTTGAACAATGTTTAAACTTTGATGTGGGCATTTACTGCTTAAAAAATTCCTATGGCAACAAATGTTTTGTGAAATGTTTTTTTTAATTCTTTTAAATATATCTAAATATATTTGTTCACATTTGCTGCAAGTGTACAGATTCTTGGTAAATTTGGGGGACAAAGAGGAAGCATGACTCCTGTGTGCCGATACTTTGTCAGCCGTGTGACAGGAAACCTCTGCATGTCAGGAAGTAGGCCTAGCTGGCCATTCCAACCCAAATTATCGTTGCTCTTTTGACAACCTTAAAAGCTCTGTCTTTTGCCCAAGATCTGAGAATTCTTACAGGTTTGTCTCGTGGAAGACAGTACAACCTTCAGCCTAAGGGTTATCAGAAAATAGTGTACACATGAAAGTCATTAGCACCCAGATGTGCACCCCCAGGTCACGAGGCTTAGCCGAACACCTGCGGGTGAGAAGCCCCGGAGCACCCTGGCCGGCTGAGGACGGCGCCCCGGAAGCCCGGGACTGGGCGGTGCCAGGGACCCGTGGACACGCCCGCGGCCCCCAGGCGGCCCTGCTTCCCACACCTGCACCTGGGGTGCCTCCCTCCGCTCGCCCCTGCACCACGCTGGCTTCCCGGACGCGGCTGGCATCGGCTTGGTGGCAGCTCGGTCGCCTCCCTGTGTGGTCGTCCGCCCCGCAGGGTCCTGGGCGCGCTGGCGGGTGGTCCGTGCACCTGAGGAGAGGCGAGGGGTGCGCCCTGGCCCCCCTCTTGCGCGCCCAGTGCCCCTAGGAACCCGAGGCCCGCAGTCGTGCCGCCTCTCCGGCTTCCAGGATGAGTCTGGGAACGGAGCGGCGCGCAGGACCGAGCTGGGCGCCGGAGTCCGGCCGGCAGGGGATCGCGCGGTGCGTGAGCTGCGGCACACGTGGCGTTCAGCGCGGGGTGGCAGGGACAGCAGACTTCCGCCGCTGCATCCGAGGCTTCGTGGTGCTTCGGGTTTGGTTTGGATTTACTGCCCCAGCTGCAAAGACCTCTGGGCGAACGAGTAACTCGTGCACACCGGCCGACAGGCCTCCCCGCGTCAGGGTTCCATTCTTGCTTCGTGTCCGCACCGGGGCTTGCCCCGCAGAGGCGGAAGGGTGGAACGCCCTAGGAGTTGGGTGGAGGACGGGCTCCCCGTCGTCCGCCCTGTTCTCAGGAGCGCGACCAAGACAGCTCCTGTGTTCCCCCGGGTGTGGCAGCGAGCGCCGGTGCGGGTGCAGGTGCCGTCTACGCCAGAGGGCAGACACTGGCCAGTGAGAAGGAACGGCACTTCTTCTGAGTGTCCCTAGGGCCTGGCAGCGGGCGTTCGGTGAGCACTGGCTGACTGGAGGACCTCGTCGCGGCTAAGCGGCGTCAGGGTCGCTGGGAGCAGAGGGCTTGAAGCCCTGCGGGACATGGATGCTAGACAGACAGGAGGAGCTACTGGAAACAGGAGGAACGCTGCCGATTTTCGTAACACGGAAGATGCCAGTGAATCCTGATAGCCACTCGGGCTTTGTGGCCGAACTTAGGAATTCTAATGACCGTTGTATCCCCGCCGCTTGACAAACGACCGGAAACATCAGAAAGAGGGTAAAGGAAGACGATGGCAAAGGGGGAAGGAATTAAAAAAAAAGCGATGCGGTTAGCGAGGGGATCGTTTGCTCGGCGGACAGCGGCACGTTAGGAAGACCTCTGATGCGGTAGCGCCGTAGAAATGGGAAGTAGGGAAGGCCCAGCGAGAGCGCGAGGGACACGGGGAGGAGCCGGGTCTGCGTGGGCCTCGGTGATCGGAGCCTGGGCGGAGTCCCCCAGCCCTTGCACGCCTAGGCCGGAACAGGGTGGCGGGAAATGTTCGCGTTGCCACGGCCTTGGGGAGGGAAGGTTGGGGGCACGGGGGGCAGGGAGCGACCTAGACGATGCATCCTGCCTCTCCTGCAGCGGAACCTCAGGAGGACCTTGTCCGCATCTGCCGGTGAACAGACCCCCAGGGCCTGCCCAGGGGTGTCTGTGCCTCGGAAGCCTGAGATGGGGCCTGGAGCTGCCCCTGCCCCGCACCAGCTTCCCTTGGGGACGTTTCTGCAAGGGGCCAGAGACACCCCCTTTCCTTGTTGAGTGACACTTGGTGAGTTGCTGGCCCATGGCTATGCTTCCTTGATACACTATCAAAGGAGACATTTCCCCAGTGTCTCCCTCCTCAGACCCACCTGGCAATGGCAGATTGCACCTGACCATGACCGGACAGGCTTTCCATTGAGGATGGGTAGCACCAAAAGTTTACAAGACTGAGAACCTGAGGTCCCTGGCTTGTGTGGTCTGTGCCTAGTGCCAAACAAGCAGGGAATTCTCAAAAACATGCTGTTTTCACCATCAAGAGGAGCTACTGGCTACTGAGCATGCATCACAGGCTTTCGAGAGTTGGTTATCTCTGGTCATTGTAACTAACCCAGATGGTCACTCCAGCAGCTTCGCAGACTGACAATGAGTGAAGCTCTTCCACCAGCACTGTGGCTCCTGCAGACAACCGTGGGCTCTGAGGCTGGAGTTGGCTACTGTCCATAGGTTTGAGGGATGCTTTTGGTCAGAACTAAGTCTTGAATCTTAGTGGGCACTGATGCCCTGAAAGATCACAAGACGCACCAGTTATGGCTGCATCTCGGCAACACTCCAGCTGGGGTTTAAGCAGATCTTTGCCAGCCTTCCAGGGCAGGCAGTCAATATTTCTGTGAAGGGCCGGTTGTCTTCTGTCTCAGCCACCCGTTCCTGATGGTGTGACACAAACGCAGCTCTCAGGTAAGTGGGCAAGGCTCCAGTCCAATAGAACTGTATTTATGGACACAGAAATTTGCATTTTGTGTAACTTCCTTATCACAAAATACTATTCTATTGACTTTTTCAATTATTTAGAAGTATAAGTGCCATTTTTAGCTTTTGGGTTCTACAGATAGCAACCTGATTTGGCCCCGAGGTCATGGTTTGCTGATTCTTGTTCTAAGGTACAAAGTAGTAAGACAAACTTTTGAGAATTAACTTTTGATTCTGATTTTTCCTTCAAGAGGAATTAGTTTCTGAGTCTGATTATTTGGTCTTCAAAAAATGTAATGTTCCAAATTCTGTACCATTCCCTTATCAACAAGTATTTTAGCACCAGCCATTTGTGGTTGCTGGGGTAAAGTAAAGGCGCCCCACGACTCTTGAGTTTCGGGTCTAGCAGAGACTGAGGCATAAGCTGGTCCCCAGTTCCATGCGACTCGGAGACTCAGGTTTCGTCTTGGTTGCACACAGAGGAGGTCACATAAGCTTTGCTGTCCCTAAAAAGAAGGGGTAAGACTAGATTGTCTCAAAGGTCTCATTTCCCCTACACACACAATTCTTTTAACTCATCTTCTCACTAAAATACGATGGGGAAGTCGAGGACTCATTTATCTTTGTTTCCCTATTACTCCTTATAACAAACCCACCTCCAGACGCCAGAGCTCCCCTAGGGTGCTGGGACTGCTCCGACAGAAATTGGTTTTTAATTCTCAAAGTAAACCCAGAGGGTCACTAAAGACATACTTTGGGTTGTTCGGGCCTTTTTCTTGCTCGTACAGTGGTTACGCAGGGTGACCATGACAGGTTGATGGCGTCATGGCCAGTAAGAGACAAGCCCAGCATGTGGATCTCTCTCCCAGTCAACCCTCCTCTTTTCTTAACTCAGGAGTAGGGGTGCTGGGGGTCCAGTACTCAACAGAATCCTCCAGTGCTCTCATTTCCTAAAACAGTAACAAAATCCCCCAAATGTCAAGATGCTTTTTAAACAGCAAAGTTCAGAAGTGCTCGTAGTGCCTAATTGATAATCTCTCAGCAGAGGCAACCCTATTTGCTGGTAGTTCCTAACTCTGTCGAATGGTTAAGGACATGTGGAGAAGCACTTGAGAAGAAGCTCTTTTAGGAGCCCCCACACTCTTGTGTGATGTGAACAGGTAAACCCTCCATTTGGTTTGTTTAAAGTCAGATATTCAGGTACTAATATGGTCAGTATTTTGTGTAAAAGGAGCATGTAAAAGGATGACCTGTGCGGGATGATTTTCTACAGAAAGCTTCTTTTCCCCCATTGCCACCTCTTTGTTTTTTCCAGTCCATCCTTTCAGACATCTCTGTGAACCAGGTCCTCAGTGCAACTCAGCCATGGGCTTCAAGGACGCCTGGCTGCGCAGAGAATGAGGTCGGTAAGTCCCACAGCACTTAAGGAGTTCCTACTGTTTTAGAGCACTTTGGTGGGTATAGAGATGGGGTTCCAGGAGTCACAGAATTGCCAATGACAACAACCTGGTTAGGGAGATAAAGCTAGAAAACGAGAAATGGACTGGCGTATTATGTGTGTGGGTGTGAAGACCTCCCCTTGGAATGATACAGTTAGGCAAAGGGGAAAGAAGAGAAAAAGATCACTGCTATCTGCCATCAGTACCCCACGGTTTACCACACGGGCATTTAGGAAAACCTATTTTTTTTTCATTTTTGAAAAAAATGTAACTTTTAGAAATGTTTGATTTTTATAATATAGTTGATATACAATGTTCTATTAGTTTCAGGTGCACAGCGGAGTGATTTGACCACAGTAAGTGTAGTTACTGTGACCATACAAAATTATTGTAATATTATTGACTATATTCCCTATGCTGTACTTTTCATTCCCCTGATTTATTTGTTTCATAACTGGATGTTTGTGCCTCTTAATCCCCTTCACCTATTTCACCCACCCCCCCACGGCCCCCCTGTGAACCACAAGTTGTCTGTATTTATGACTATGTTTCTGTTTGGTTTGTTCCTTTGTTTTGTTTATTAGATTCCACATAGACATG